TCTGAGTATGCTTTGAAGGTAGATCCACGCTTATTAATGAAGACCATCAGCATATAAAACGTACATAAACAATGAAACCATGAAATGAAATGAATATGGATTACAGAATAGAATACCAAAGGGGGCTTAACCCAGGAGAAAGTAAAGAGGAGCCAAGAGGTAGGAGGACCCTGAGTGTTAAGAACAGGGGAAATTAGCTGAGTTACATGTGTTTAGTAAGTTAGTAAGAACAGATTTGTCTGTAAGGATCCTGTTAAGAGAGAGAAAATAATGAGTACATTTGGGAAGATGGCAAACTTAATTTCCTAGTTTGACCATTGTACTGTGAATGATATATTAAATTTTTTTTCTTTTGTGGTACTGGAAATTGAACCTGAGGCCTCACAAATGCTAGGTACAACATCTACCACTGAGATAAATCCAAGCCCTGTGCTTAACATTAATAAAGGTATAGACGGGATGAAAAAGTAAGTTTGAGAGAGAGAGAGTCTATAGGCATCAGTTTCTAGTTTTATTGCAAAGGAGAACAAAGCAATGGAGAGGTAGTTGGCAAGGGATATAGTCAACAGAAGTGTATTTTACACTAAGGAAATGGCCTGCCTGTATACTAGTAAGATCCAATTCTACAAGTTGACTTACGTACAACTCCCAAATAAATGAATAAGGTAGTCTCATTCTGTATTTTATAGATAGTGGGAAAGAGCAGCAAGAGATATATCATACGGATATACGTTTATGAAATAGACTGGATTCAAGTCCTGGCTTCACCATGTACTGTGATGCTATTACATGGTTTGTCCTCTGCTCACATTCTTCATGTACGAGGTCAAATACTGCTGCCCAATTTATAGGGTTGTAGTGAAAATCAAATTATTAGATTGTACTAATATATCTAATTCAGTGGTTTTCAACCTATGGGTCGCAACTCCTTTGGCAAACCTCTCCCTCTGAAAATATTTACATTGCAGTTCATAACAGTAGCAAAATTACAGTTATGAAGTAACAAGGAAAATAATTTTATTGTTGGAGGTTACTACATCATGAGGTGTATTAAAGGGTTGCAGCATCAGGAAGGTTGAGAACCACTGAATTGATGTGTTGAACTGCTTGTCAACTAGGATACACACGTGTGTACATAGAAGTTGGACAGTGCATACGTCCATGTTTAGGGTGATGGGGCTGGTATGTAATTCCTTTCACATACTGGTGATGACAACCATCCAGCCGCCACCAAGTCACTTGAACACTGAGGAATACTAGGGTAAAAATGATGTGTTCTACATCGTAAGTTTTTCTTTTTAAACTTATTTTAAAATTTTAATTATTTTTTGAGGCTAATTTTGAGCCTTAACCTCTAGAAATGTTCCAGTTCATGTCATAAAGCCTGCATTTTGGTCTTTGTGCTGCCATTCATAGAACAGACCCACAGAAGCCTCTTGTTTTTCATTTGCAGACATGAATAAAATACTGTATTCTCAAATGTCCCTGTGGAAAAATAGGGATGGGAGTTTCTGTCCAGTTAGAGCCATCCTCTTCTGTGGAGGGTCCTATCCCCACTTTTCATAGGAACTCTTGAGAGAGGGATGAGAAAATACCAGGTAGAATGATAGGCCTACCAACAAGAGGAAAGAGGGAAACACAGCATAGCTTCGGGAGGACCTGGGTCGATACCCAACGGCCCAGAACTTTATTCAAAAGGGTTTTTTATAACAATGCCAGGAGGTGAGGCAGAAGACCTCCCCCTTGCTAGATACAGCCAAGTGTAGACCCTTCCAAACACCTGGTACCCAGGCCCGTGGTCCAATCATCCCCTTACGCAGCCCTACTGAGTAAAGCAAGCTCAGATCTCACTAGGAAACCTCTGTGGGCTCCCACACTCTTCAGCAGAAATAACTGTCATCCACATTAGGCATGGTGGCTCATGCCTGTAATCCCAGCTACTCGGGCTGAGGCAGGGAAAGACAAGTTCATAATGTGTCTGAGCAATACAGAAACTTCAAGACTACCCTGAGCCACTGAGACTGTCTCAAACTAAAATTTTAAACAAGGCTGGGGACATAGTGATGGAACACATGCCTGCCATGAGCAAGGCCCTGGATTCAGTCCCTAACCACCCCCCCAAAGCCCACGTGTGTAATTAAACAATATCTAGTATTAGTACAGGGCTGAAGAGATGGCTCAGTGCTTAAGGTTACAGACTGCTCTTTCAGGCGATCCAGATTCTGTTGACAACACCATGTTGGCTCACTGCCATCTATAAATATAACTCCAGTTCAGGGGGAATCTAATGCTTTCTTCTGGCCTCTGAGGGCACTGCACACGTGCACAGACATACATGCGGACAAAACAGCCATCTGTACAAAATAGTAAAAGTTAAACAGAATATCTCATAGCCACATTTAAAAGAAACAAGTTTAATATTTAACCCAATATATCTAAAATAATTGTCATTCCAACTTGTAATAACATAAAAATTATTTAGGTTATTTTTATATTAAATATTTTAAATCTAGTGTGTATTTACAATTGTAGTACATCTCAAATTAACAACATTTCAGGTGCTCAGTAACAGCATGTGACCAGTGACTACCATATTGAACAACCCAGATCTACAATTTAGATAAGTATTCCTCATCAGTGTTCGGGTACTGGTTGTTGCTTTGGTCACAAGCAGCTCACACATCTTATTTTTAGAACTCCGTGTACCTTTGGATGCTTCAGCTTTATGTCCCTTTGATCAGATAGCTTAGATTAGCATTGGTGTCCCTGGGAGGATAGGGTCTTACCCTTAGTGTCTTGGCTGGTCTAATAAGGATTTGCTCTGGGCATGGCATGTACCTGTGTTTGGTCAAGGTTGGTAGACAGCCATGGATTACTGAATTCATTAAGTGTGATAAAACTTTTGAACCACAAGAATCAGAGCTCTAGGTCAGTATTAGCAGTGTTAGGCTTTGTCAAAAACCCTTTACTCTAGCCGGGCAGCAGTGCTGCACGCCTTTATCCCAGCACTCCGGAGGCAGAGGCAGGAGGATCTCTGTGAGTTCAAGGCCAGCCTGGGCTACAGAGTGAGTTCCAGGAAAGGTGTAAAGCTACACAGAGAAACCCTGTGTGGGGGGGACTTTACTCCTGTTTCTTATCTACCCCTGCCCCCCCCCCCCCCACACACACCTCAGGTTTCAGTTATCTAATGACTCTGGGGAAAGAGCACATACCAGGAATTTTCTAATGGAATTCTGTCTCTGTTTTAACAAGGCAACCCTCTGAGAGATTATTTTGACTTTTGAACAAACATTTGAGAACCCTTTTGGAATCTAGGTGTGGTAGTGCTAATGTGTAATCCCAGGTACTAGAGAGCTGGAAATAGGAGGATCAAGAATAGCCTAGGCTACATGAGGCCCTGTATCAAACAAACAAAAAAATTTTATGCACTCTTTAGGTGTCAGGATATCTTGAAGAACAAGACATACTTACTTCTGTATTATACATTGGGCTTTTATTATCTTATTTTTTAATCATGTTTTCTGATGTTGTCTTTCATCTAGATTTCAGGAGAATTATAGTAAAGAGGTTACTATCCTTGACTGTTGGAATAAAGATAGTATGGGACCTAAGTGCCCTTATCAAACATAGAAAGATCTGTTTAGATGTCACCTTCTTAGGAGGCCCTCCCTGATCATTGCATCTAAACAACTGCCAGACATCAGGACTCTGCCTCTACCTTCTTAAGGGCAGGGAAGATAAGACTACCACTTATCATTAACTAAAATTTGTATGCCTTTCTAAGCATAATATACATTTTTTAAGGATGGGGACTTTGTCATTTATTCCTGTATTGCCAGCTCCTAGTATAATACCTGACATTCAGTTCATTGAATAAATGAAATAAGAGATGTTATTTCCCATATGTACTAAGTAATTTTAAAATTAAATGCCTGGCAGAATTTTCCCTATTATTGTTCTAGGCAATGTGATATGCTTGAGTTTGCAGACCTAATCTTGGTATTTGCTTTTGACCAGTCATTTAGATAAACTTTACTTCTGTCAGAGTGTGTGGGATATAAGGAGAGGGAAAGGAGCAGTGTGGAGAACGATTGTAAAATGAAAGTAGGGTAGCAGGTCTATACCCAGAGACAATTTGAGATTATGTAGAGAAATAATATGGGAAAGGGAATTATTGGGATAGGAAGTGGATTGCAGTTTTATAGTTCAGTTGCTGAAATTTGCATAAGGACACATTTGGACAGAACAGTTGGCTTACTAGGTAACAGAAGCATAGGTAAAAGATAAAAGGGAACTCATGACCACAGAGATTAGTATTGTTCAGAGGAAATGTGGGCTATGTTGACACATGGCTCCAAACTTCTATTCTTTATTTAGAATCTTTATTTAAAATTCTGTTTACCCACGTCCATTTCTCAGCCATTCTTCCAGTTCACCTCTTGCGCCTTTGTGCCAACATGACAACCATTTCCTAGTCTGTGTGCTTTGTGTCCCTGTGGCACCTGCGAGCACAGATTCATCATGCTCTGAAGGCCCAGAAACCCTGTCATAACTGCTGCTTGTCCCAGGAACCACCTAGGGATATAAGGAATTCTCTCCAGGGTTTTGTTTTTCCATTGCTGTGGATTAAACCCAGGACCTCACAGGCATGATATGCTTCACCACTGAGCTACATGTCCACCCATTCAGGTTTTATCGCGAACTATTTATATTGCAGTCAAACTTTTAACAAAAGAAATAAAAGCAAAATCAACAACTTTTACTTGTTTCTGTCGTACTTCTTCAAATGAAAAAGACCCTTTTATGTAAAATGTACCAGTTTTTTAATAGGCTACAAGTAGAGTATATTTAGTTTATAAATATATTAATAGGAACAATAAGTAAATTGGAATTGTCTTTTGATATTGTAGCAGTGGGCTTTGATTTGTTAGGCTTTATTTGGGTGGTGTAATTTTAGAAGTTTGTAGAGTTTAATTTTAACCTGTCTTGTCTCTTTGTAGTCTGTAAGACCTGTATTGTCCAGCACTTTGAAGACAGCAATGATTGTCCGAGGTGTGGCAACCAAGTTCATGAAACAAATCCATTAGAAATGTTGAGGTAAAGAAATATATTTCATAATTTGTCTGATTTTAATTGTATACATTTGTAATCTTTATCATTTATTATGCTATTTGAGCATAAGTTGGGCATTTAAAGCATTTTACTTTATTTTTAAATCTTTTAATAAAAGTTTGAAATAAGATTACATAATGTTTAGGAAATGTATCTGCAATTAAAATGACAACATTCTCTTGGGCTTTTCAGAGTGACTTCAGTTGAGTTATTTTCAGATGCAGGTGAACTACATTGGATAACTGTATTAGTAATAAAATTATCAGGAAGGCAATAGTAAGAAAAAATGTGTCCTGGGAGAAAAGAGATTGGTGTGTGATGGTACCTAAGAATGGAAGGATGATGTGAGGTTGTAGCTTGAGTTTTCCTGCCTGGCCCACAGTCAGGACAAATCTCTCTCACCCGCCAGTCCCACAGCCGCTCAGACCCGACCAAGTAAACACAGAGACTTATATTGGTTACAAACTGTATGGCCATGGCAGGCTTCTTGCTAACTGTTCTTATATCTTAAATTAATCTATTTCTATAAATCTATACCTTGCCACGTGGCTCGTGGCTTACCAGCATCTTCACATGCTGTTTGTCATCATGGTGGCTGGCAGTGTCTCTGACTCAGCCTTCCACTTCCCAGCTTTATTCTCCTCCTTGTCCTGCCTATACTTCCTGCCTGGCCACTGGCCAATCAGTGATTTATTTATTGACCAATCAGAGTAATTTGCCATACAGACCATCCCACAGCATGAGGTGGTTAAGAAAGGATATGTAGGAGACAGACCAAGAAGTAACTGAGAGTAAGGCTCAGTGAAAAGTGGAAGAAAGAACAAAGTGAGTCCTTTCCCCTGGAGCCTCTTTGGGAGTGTTGTAGTATCATTTAAAACTTCAAGAAAGGGAGGTAGCTAAGGGATGTTCTGTGTTGCTCTGGAGGGATTTGATGAGACAGTGGGTACCCACATAAGTGGGTAAAAGCAGGTGACTGAGTTGTTCAGCATCTGTTGGAAATTCAGACTAGACCTAAGGTGAGACAAACAACTTCCCACATGTTAGTTTAAAGCTACAAAAATAGATGAGGACCCCGGACACATGGCCCACAGAAACACTGAAAGAAGGAAGGTGGCGTATAGAGAATACTCTATACTACAGGGAATACTCAGCCCTCCTTATGGCTGGCTTCTTCCTCCAGTGGATTTGGCCAACTGTGCCCATCAGATATATGTGCAAGAAAAATTGCTTCTGTACTTAGCATTTAATTGTCATTATCCCCAAACAATAAAATTAACCAATGCATTCACATTATATTACTATATGCAGACTCCAGCTGGTTTTAATCTATAGGAAGATGTGTTTTAGGTATGACATCCTGCAGTGTTTTATATGAAGAACTTGACCATCCAGATTTGGTGTCTGTGAAGAGTCCAGGAACCTGCTCCCCAGCACTGGGGGATGACTTTAGTGTGGATAAAGAAAAAATATTTGGGCACATAGAACAGACAGGGAAAAAAATAAAACGAAGAAAGGGAATTTCAGGGAGTTGGTGTTAAGCCATGCTGTCAGATAGCTGTGAAACTATAGAGGTCATAGGGACCAATTCTAGGGAGTTGAGCAAGGTAAAACAGCGAGTAACAGTATGGAACAGAAGTAGCAGACTATGCTCTTCAAATTTTTTCAGATTGAAAAAAGATTTAAAAACAAATGTCTGTGTGTGCACGCGCGCGCACGTGTGTGTGTGTGTGTGTGTGTGTGTCTGTCTGTCTGTCTGTCTGTCTCTGCCTGCCTCTCTCTTTCTCTCTGTGTGTGGTGTATCTACAGCAGATATATGCTGAGTCCAGAAGAAGGCATTAGATCTGGAGCTAGAGTTACAGTTATGACCCATCCAGTGTGGGTGCTAGGAACCGACCTCCAGTCCAGTGCAAGAGCATCAAGTCCTCTTAACTGTTGAGCCATCTCTCCAGCTCCAGAAATAGCTTTAAAAGACGCTTAAGGAAATAGATTTTGCTTCTTTAGAGTTTGATGTCAAAGAAGAGTAATGCTGTTAAGCAGGATGAAAATAAAGTAAGAGCAGGTGTTGTAGAAGCAACAAAATGGGCTGAAGAAATGGAGCCAGGAAAAAGAAGGGTTATGTATTATCAGGAAAAGAAAACTAGAAGAATGCCTAGATAAATAAGTTTGTATCTAGGGAGCTAGAAGAGTCAAACTGTCTAAATATCTCAGAAAATGAAATGGAGAGCATTCATTTTTAGAAAAGAACCAGCATTGTAGAGATTCAAAGAGTGGGGATGTTAGCTTTGCTGCGTGACAAACCACCTCTAAATTAGTGCTTCAGATGGCAAGCATTCCTTTCTCCTCAGCAGTGGTGTGGGTTAGTGAGCAATCTGGTCTTGGCTTTGCTCATTCCTGCTCATTCAGTTAACTACTGGGTTCTGCCATGTGTTGGGGTGGATTGCCAGTGCAATGATCTGGGGCTGCCTCAGCAGGGCCGTGGAGCACTCCCCTAGCTGATTGATGTACATGGAGCAGAACTACAGTGCCTCTTAAGACCTAGGCTAGGTCCAAGGTCAGTGTTATTTGTCCCACGTTCCTTTTGGTCTAAGCAATTTTCCGGGGTAGTCCCTATTCTTGGGATTGGGAATTCTCAGAGATCTAGACTCCACTTCTTGACCAAGTGAAGAATGGCAAAGGCATGTTCAGGGGGTGTATATGTAGGGAAGGCTGGGAACTTTGGGACTATTTTTTTCCCTATTAGTATACCACCAAGGGAAGGCTACTAGAAGTAGGCATGCTCCATATGAAGGCAGCACTGGTGGAGCAGGAGTGCTCCCTATGAAGACAGCACTGGTGGTGGAGCAGGAGTGCTCCCTATGAAGGCAGCACTGGTGGAGTAAATAAAAGGTTGTTTAACAAAAGTAAAAAGTAAGTAAAAGTAAAAATCATCTGGAGTCTGTGTTTCATAGTATGAGTAAGAAATCTCAACTGTTTGCATATTGGATTCTGATATCTTCATTGTTTATTCCCCTTCAACCCCTGAAGGTTGGATAATACATTGGAGGAAATTATATTTAAGCTGGTACCTGGACTACGAGAACGTAAGTTGCTCTTTGGGTTCTACAGACTTTTCTTGTTTTATGAGATCAGTATTTCTATTAAAGATTTCATCCTATAGTTTTCATATTTTTTTCCTTCAAATTAGAAGAACTTCAGCGTGAATTGGAATTTTGGAAGAAAAATAAACCTCAAGAAAATGGACAAGGTAACTATGTTTCTGACAACTTCTCTCATTATTACGTTGGTGGAGTAATGTCTTTCTACACTCAGAATTCTCCTGTGCAAAACTCATGCAGCCTTTCATGAGATAGTATCTAAATCATTGCATATCTGCATGACTCCAGTTGAAGGTAATTGGAGAGAGGAAATTGGACTTTGGGAGGAGAAAGGAAAGAAATGAAAGAGAAAATTGAATAGGCGATAATACTAATAGTTTTAGGACAGAAAAATCTGAAGTAATAAATAATCTTAACGACCACCTCAGTCGTGAAGGCATCTCAATTTTACTTCACTTGTAAAAGCACTTTAATAGGAGCCAGAAATGAGATGTAGTTAAGAGCCAAGTCGGGGTTTGCTGCGCTCTGATGCTGTGAAAGGAGCACAGGTGGACGGACCGCTGATGGTTCAGGTTAGGTCTTGGGTCTGTCAGCAAGGGTTTCTGTGTGCTCACCAAGATGTTCCCATCACCAGGCCAAGTGTCCAAGTTTCTTCTTTGGGACCCAAGTAATAATTCATCATTTCAGCAGGGCCTGGAGAGAACTCATTGGGTAAAGTACTTGCCTAAGAATGAGGACCTGAGTTTGATCCCCAGAACTCACATAAAAGAGTGAGGCATGGGCCAGCAAGATTCTCAGTGGGTAGAGATACTTGCACACAGACATGATAACTCAGTTCGGTCCCTCAGTCCCTCAAGGTGACAAGGAGAACTGACTTAGAGACCTGACATCCACACATGCACCTACCTGTACACACGGTGTTTAAAAGTCAGCGCAAGGAAGCCAGAGCTAGGCTGGTCTCTGGGGCTTAGTGGCCAGCCAGTCAACCTTGTCAGTGAGGTCCAGGCCAGTGAGAGACCCCCCATCTCAAAGAAACAGGGTGGATAGCACTTAAGAGCACCCAAGATTCAGTCCTGGCCTCCATGAACACATGCATAACATACACATACACACGCACACATGCGCACACAGTAACAGTAGTTTCAGCAGAGTGGCAAATGTTGCTGTACTGAGAAGGAGCTGTTTGTATGTGTATTATCCATACAAAGGGATATCTAAATCAGAAAGTAATAGCATTCTTCATGTTTTTAAACACAAGACTTAATTCAGGATGCCCTAAGTACCATTCAAGAGGCCCCTGTGCATTTGTGAACTTAGTCTCCAGCCTTGATTTTTGCTCATAAAGTTTCATAAAATCAAAGTCATTGCAGATGGATGAGGAAATGCTGGGTCTCTTTTTCTCATTTATGATGGTGCTAATGGCTTTAATAGTTTACTTAACTATGTAATCCCTTAGCAGGGGAGCTTTTTTTTTTTTTTTGGTTTTTCGATACAGGGTTTCTCTGTGTAGTTTTGCGCCTTTCCTGGATCTCACTCTGTAGACCAGGTTGGCCTCGAACTCACAGAGATCCACCTGCCTCTGCCTCCCAAGTGCTGGGATTAAAGGCGTGCGCCACCACCACCCAGTGAGAGCTTTGATAATAGTTTTCATGAGTAGAATAATGGTAGCAAGGGGCTGTTTTTATACATAACAACAAAATGAAGAAAGATGCTGAAATGACTTAACCTAAAGCTTATTTTACCTGTGTACAATGTACTTAGCTTGACTTTTTTTTTTTAAAAAGTAGATACTATAAAATAGTCCAATTTTTACTAACACACATGGAATTGCCATCAGAATTATAAAATAGGTTTAAGCTGTGATTTGTTTTATATATGAGTGCCATAGACAAAATAGATAATTTTGTATATCCTGGCTTATGAATTTTATCTCCCTTTACCTATTTTTCTCCTTTTCAAAATATTTTTGGATTTGGTCTTTAACTTTGGGGTGTGGGGCTTTTCACTGAGCTAGGTGTTTGGTTCATAAAGCCAGTGTCTGTACATGGGTTCTGTGTAAATATGGATGGGAAAAAGAAAGCCATCTTCCCATTTTTGTAAGGTACAGTGTAAGGCTTTTACTGTATTGAACAAAGACTAGCCTCTCATTGGTAGGGGGACTTTAAAAGTGTAGTTCTTGGCTAGCTGAATTTTCATATTTAGCTTAGGTAGCTATATTTCATCTGGAAAAGTTTCCTGACTCTTCCATGGTCACATATTTCATTTACTTACCCACCCTTTATTTGTCCCTTTTTGCCTTTTCCTGGATCCTGGCACCATAATGCTGAGGATGCTAACTCTTAGTGTTTGTTATTCTCATTTCTGTGGCAAAATACTTGACAAGAAGCGACCAAAATACTTGACAAGGATGCGGGCGTGGGGTGGGGTAGGGGTCGGTTAGCCTGTGGCTGACAGTTCAAGAGTGCAGTGCATCACGGCAGGGAAGGCATGGAGCAAGAGCAGGAGGCTCCCGAAGAAGAGAACAGGAAGTGGAGCTTAGCAATAAAACCTCAAGGCTCCACCTCCTAAAGGTTTCATAACCCCCCCCAAACAGCACACCATTCAAGCTCATGAGCCTAGGGAGGTTATTTCCTGTTCAGATTTCATGCCCTTTAATTGTGTTATTGTTACCTCAGGCCTAGCACAATGCATGTCTGAAACATTGTTCAAGGTATCCCATAAAGGCATCAATAAATACAGTTGCATGCATGTAACATTTTAAATAAATTTTATGTTACGTATAGTATTCATATTTTCTTAGTGGAATTTTAACATGTTAAGTGGTTACAAAGCATGCTTTTAAAAATCTAATTCTTTTTTTTCCATAATTGATTTTATAAATAATTTGTAATTCAGAGACTTTGGAGAGAATGTAATTTGAAAGTTAATACTTGGTTTTTATTTTGAGCACATCTGTTATTGAATTTGGAAGTATTTGATATCCTGTTTGCCTTCTAAAAGTGGCCTAATCACTAATTACAGTCTTTCATGACCAAATATAGTTAATCCAGAATCTTTCAATTGGATTTTTCAGTATGCCCAGAAATCTTACACTGTTATGTTTCTGATGGCCTTAGATGAATATTCCATTGTTGAGTATGTTAGAGGGTTTAAAAAGGATTAACATTTTCAATTATTCTTCAGACCAGTTAGGAAATATTTTAGGTTGCTTATTGTTTTCGTGAGTACCGTATTGTTTGTTTTGTTTTGGTTTTGGTTTTTTGAGACAGGGTTTCTCTGTGTAGTTTTGGAGCCTGTCCTGGAACTCACTCTGTAGCCCAGGCTGGCCTCGAACTCACAGAGATCTGCCTGCCTCTGCCTCCCGAGTGCTGGGATTAAAGGCATGCGCCACCACCACTCAGCAGGACCGTATTGTTGATTGACTTTCAACTTTGGGTTACGTGGGCTTTGCTTCAATTATACAGATGACGTGTCAAAGGTTGACAAATCTAAAGCAGATGAAGAAGGTGACGAAAACCAAGATGATAAGGACTACCATAGAAGTGACCCACAAATTGCTATCTGTCTGGATTGTTTACGAAATAATGGGCAGTCAGGGGACAATGTAGTGAAGGTGAGTGGGCAGATTTCATTTTCCAGCTCATCAAAGTGCTTTCTTTCAAAGTTTTTGTTACCATAATGCAATTGAATGCCATCCTCTGAAATCCCATACCTGGGAGTGGTCAAGACCTTCCTTTACAGGCACCTTGTCCTCCCACCCCAACCATCCAGGCCAATGCCACCATCTAGTGGCTAATTTTTAAAATGCAGCGGCCAACTCAGGCTGGTTGTTTTCATTCAAGCAGTGTCTCCAACCTTTGTATTAATTATCTTTATATTCTTTTTTAAAGAATTTCAGTTTTATTTTATATGTGTAGGTGTTTTCCTCAATGTGTGCCTCTTCATCATGTGCATGCCTGGTGCCAGCAGAGGTCATCAGGGGGTGTCCCCTGGAGTTCCAGGTGGTTGTGAGCTGCTGCCATGTGGGTGCTGAGATTGAACCTGGGTCTTCTGAAGAGTGCTGGTGCTCTTAATGCTGAGCCATCTCTGCAGCCCTAAATTATATTCTTCAGTCTTCTACTTTATTTGAAATTATAAGCCTCCAGTTTCATGGCTAATGTATTTTATTAATAAAATAGTAGGTTTTGAAGTAAAGTTGTGTTATAAAGTGCCTATATATATATAAAGAACTGATAAAATCCTTGAAGAATTTAATGATTTTTCCACATAGTCCTCATTTCTCATCCCATTTCCCTGTGTCTGATCATTAAACTGTTTCTTAAAGGATCTGAAGACTCACTGCTGTCTCAGTTTTGTCCTTGGTGTTTAAATATTATTCAGTGTTTCCTGGTGTTTGAATTGGCAGCAACTTTCATTCTCATCACAAATGTTCACTGTAGTGTTTTTTTTAGCTCTTACGTAGATTTTTGTCACTTTGTCCAAGCACATATTAGTCATCGAGGGTTTTTCTCTGCATTTTATTTTATTTCAAGTTCATATTTTCTGTTTATAATTTTCTTTCACTACATCTCTGTAAATCAACAGGTGTTTGGGTTGAATTTCTTTATTATTTTTATAATATTTACTATATTACTAATAATGGTACTTTGTATTAGGAAATTAAAAACAAATCATTTTAACTCAGATTTTCAGTTTATCAGCATCTTATAATAAAAGAATATACTGGAGCATAGTAAGCAAATGAATATTTATTCGCTGTGTGGTAATGATATAAGTGGTTTTTTGTTTTTTTTGTTTTTAAAAAGGAGTGTCACTTGAGACAGATGAATAGGAACCGGGTGGGTGTAGGAGCAGGAATAGGAAGTAACTGCTAACTGCTCATGTGTAAAGAATTATTTAGAGGACAAGGAAAAATTTTGGAATTAGATATTGTAATGGTTAAACAACTTTATAAAAACTACTTAATTGTTCATTTTAAATAATGACTTTATGGTGTTATATTGCAATTTAAGAAGTTAAAGTCACACTTGATAATTGCTCTGATTGGTAGAGATGTAAATCCTAATACTAAAGAAATGAGAGGAAAACATTATAAAGCATTTGAGCTTAAAAAGCAAAAAGCTGACTTTGTGTTTTTATAAAGCTCCACAAAACAAATGATCGAACTGTGTCCTAAAACTGCAGGCCCCTCTGAGCTCCCAGGAGGGCTCTGCAGATTTTTGTAGTTAGTCTTGTAACTCTTGAGAAGGAAAGGAAGAAAGACAGGCACTGGGGCCTTTATTTTATCAGCTTCTGACAGCTGCTGATTCATCCACTCCTGCCTCTGAAGTAGCTGAGTCTGGGCACTTCAGACATGGGTGCTCACACTGAGGCCTCAGGGAAAACAGCTTAGAACGTAAACAGAGGTTTCTCTGTTCTGTCCCGTCCTTCAGCTGTTTCCGACAGAGCTTCCAGAAAGACCATCCCATAGCAGGGGACATTTCTGAATTCTGCATTTCCTGACCTGAATTGGACAACAGGAAACAGAATAAGAATGTTGTGCCATGGGAAGGGAAGGTGACATTCCTGAAACAAAACAGTCTTCTTCCATGTAGTATGTCTAGATATGCAGATGTTCCAAAAATATTGATCCTTTCTAGACAGCTGGGTAGAGTTAGACATGGACCTCACCCTTCCATCCCCCACCCCTGCAGTTTCCTGTGAGCACTAGGATGTAGCACAGTGCTTCCATTTTCCATGTCAGGAAGGAGATGGTAAGAAGAAGCCCGGCTCCTAGCTCCTCTCCACCATCCTGTCTTCTACCCAGCACCTGTTAGTCATTGCCTCTTGTGGGGTCAGTGCTTTCTAGACATCTATACAGTAGTTTTCAGGAACATGCGACCAGGAGGTTTAATTTGGTTTTCTTAGAAAGTATTCCTAGAGAAAGTGCTTATTATTATTTATTTTCCAAGTATTTTCAAGTCAACTTTCACATAATCCAGATTGAAATTTTATTAGATTTGTGTCAGACTTTATTGAATTATGAGTTCTAGGAACATTCTTTTGCTTTGTCTTAAAAATATTCTCTTAACTATTATGACATCTCTGAATTATTAAATGACTTGTAGGAAATTGAACAGTGATGTGAGGAGCAGTTGGAGGGCAGGGCTCTGCTCAAGCTTGAAGAGTGAATGAGAACCACTGTCATCATGTAAAACAAGAACACAGCAAAGCACACAGGCCTTAGTGCTCTATAGTAAAGTGCAGTAGCCCATCCCTGGGGAATGCTTTTCCTCAGCCCAGAGCCCACACTGCACAGCTGGCAGGCGCTGAGGCGTGCTGTGGACAGAGCAGTGCCTTTCTGCTCTATCTGGAGCTCCTCCCAGGTCTTCTGTAAAAATACTGCTCCCTGCAGTTAGTTACAGGTTCTGTATGATGTCCCTACTACTTTCAGAAGTAACATCATTTAATAAAATATTGACAGTTTTGTGGCCTTTTCCTTAAACTGTTTTCTTTGTTTAAAAATATCTTAGAGAAAAACAGATTGTGTACTTGACAGGATTTTGCTAATTTACACACTAAAGCATTCTTGAGGAATGTCATGTAAATAGGCAGTGATTAAGAACATTCGTACTTAAAAGAATTGAAAGTTTTTGGTTTTTTTTTTTTTTTTTTTTTTTTTACATTTTGAAACTACTCAAAGCATATGGTGAAAATCGTGCCTTTGGTTTTAGTTTGGTACAGTTTGGTTGGGGGTGGTCTTAGGAGACTGTTTCACCTTGCAAGCCAGGTGGGAGTCAAACTCAGATCCTAGCTCATCCTCGGAATGCTGGGATTGCACATACATGCTCCATGCCTCTGAATGCCTAAGGTTTTAGTAAAAACAAATTAGAGAGTTTAATTTGTCATTTTTTTTTCTTTAGGGTCTCATGAAGAAATTCATTCGATGTTCTACACGAGTTACTGTAGGAACTATTAAAAAATTTCTAAGTTTAAAACTAAAACTTCCAAGTTCTTATGAGGTAAGTAAAATAATATCTAACTGTGATTGTTTTGATGATTCTGATCTGTAGTAAAATTCTAGCAAAAGAAGTAAAAAGGATATATTCAAAATTTTTGTAGAAACTGGTTATTTTCATTATAATACATATAATGAATATATATTTTATTATAATATGTAATAACATAATAAAAATAATTTTTAGAATGTAATATTTATGTAACATTTTATAACATATCCCAAGCAAATCACATTAATGTATTTGTAACTAAAGGAGATATTTGTAAAACTTATATTAAATATTCCCAAAATAAGTCTCCTATCAAAATGAGTTCTTTCTTTTTTTTATAGTGTCAGCATGCTCTAAGGTGTGCACTTTTTGCATGTTTCTGTTACTGTTGTGCAGCTTTGTGCATTATAAAGTGCATTTGAGTTGCTTCCCTCATCACCACCCCTCTCATCACCCCGCCTCCGCTTGGAACTCTTCTCAGTGCACTTTACTCCTACTCCGTGCCTTTGGGTCTGTGGTCCATGGAGTGCACTAAGAGTTTCTTGCCTGAGCCTGAGTAAAAGGTTATTTACTAGAACAAGGACAACTTAGACTGGCTGCACCACCAAAGGAAATGACCCCTTCCCCAAGCAACCATTAATTGCCAGTAGTTACCCAGCGTAGGATGGGGCCTCATGGACTCCCAACTGTGATGAAATGATGCTCTACCCAGCCTTGTGCAGGTCTTATGTGGATAACTATAGCTGCAGGAAGTCTATTAGTGTAGAGACTATGTCATGTCCAGAAGAGTTCTTTTTGCTGCCCATCTCGCTGTCCTCTGACTCTGAAAGTCTTTCTGTCTCCTCTTCTGTGATATCCCTTGAACCTTGGAGGACAAAGTACAAACCTCAAATGGCAAATAGGAGATGGATCTGAAGTATGGGCAGGCTCCCTATCCTGGTGGTGAGCCAGAGCAGGGGCCAAAGTACAGGCACACTCTGTTGAGATGTGTGACCTTGCATGAGACTGTAAGTCTCTTATTAAAGGAGAGAACTGAGGTGTGATGGGATTTAAGCACAGACCTTGACAGGAAGGAGTCTATCTATCTAAGAAAGCATCTGACCTTGAACCTAATGGAAATGTCTCATGTGGCTGATGACTAGTCTGGGTTAAATTCTTTTTATTAGTTTGGTTCTGTGGTTTTAAAAAATTACAGATATGGCCGGGCGGTGGTGGCGCACGCCTTTAATCCCAGCACTCGGGAGGCAGAGGCAGGCGGATCTCTGTAAGTTCGAGGCCAGCCTGGTCTACAGCGCGAGATCCAAGAAAGGCGCAAAGCTACACAGAGAAACCCTGTCTCGAAAAAACCAAAAAAAAAAAAAAAAAAAAAAAAAAAAAAAAAAATTACAGATATGGGGCTGGAGAAATTACTCACCAGTTAAGAGCACTGACTGCTCTTCCAGAGGACCCAGGTTCAATTCCCGTCATCCACATGGTAGCTCACAATCATCTGTAATCCAGCTCCAAGTGATTTGACACCCTCACACAAACATACACGCAAGCAAAACACCAATGTACATAAAAGTAGATCATGGTAAGCATAAAAGATTAACAACTTACAGATATCATCTATAGTGAAAAGTATACAATGAAATTATTTTACTGCATTATTTTGCTGTTTTGTTTTATTCATGAAAAGTATCATGTATAGTTTTATTTCTTTAGAAGCCTATTGCTGAGTTAATTTTCTTCAGGAAGTCACTGGAACCAAGAAAACTCTTCTCCGTCTTCTGCCATGTGCTATGATTTTTCTTTTTTTAACAATTCTTTATCTTATCCCAATCAAAGAACTTGTCTTTTGCTTTCTTTAAAATACAGATTGGTCTCCCATTATTTTGCTGCCCAGCATCTAGGCCTGTGATTTAATGAAATGTCTAAAATTTCCATAACAGCAGTACTAACTGGGATAGGGAGTTTCAGTTGCTAATGACTGTGGGTACAGCCTGATTAGTAATTGCAACTTTATAACTTTGCTTAGGAATTTGTTTTACAGACAAGATAAAGAGAGGTGTCTACTTTATTCTTGTAAGAGTTAATAAAATAACTGAAAATTTTCAAGGCCATAAATCATTCAAATACCAATAATTTAGTTCATATATCTAATATAATTGGGACTATATTTTGTGTTAGGCTTCAAAGTTCAAAATTGCAGCCTTTGTCTAGATAGATTCAGATCTATGTAAAACTCATTCTCCCCATCCACACTTGAAATAAATCTTAAGCAATTTCTTTCACTAGAAACTAGAGGACTGAGACATCTCATTTATAGGGATCTATGATAAACATTCATTATATATTGTTTGTTGAATTAGTGAACCATACACAAAGTCTTGTGGCCTTTCAAAGCTTTAGGGGTGGTTTCCTGTAGCCTCAAACAAGACAGGGAGGCTTTGTAAGTACAGTTTGTTTTGACATTTCTTGCAAGGTGAGGAGAATCCACAAATACGCCAGAGAGACCAGATAGCCCTGAACACAGCTCTGTGCTGCAGTTGGAATGCCCCATCCTGGGAACTTCAGAGGATTCTGAGTGGTGGATTTAGAAAGAGCTTGCTACACTTCTACGCTCTTCTACACACTTCTACGCTCTTCTACACACTTCTACACTCTTGCTACACTCTTCTCATTCAGTAAGAGTTGTCCCAGGTTTACAGAATAAAACCTATAGGACTGCAGAAACATGAATCAAGATGGTTGGTATTGCATTTATAAACTGTATCAACTTGAGATACGGTTGTATAGCACAAGATAAATGCTGTTTAATCTGAACTATTGACATTCTGTAAGGAAGTGGTTTTAATAAAAGTATTCACTGTTCTTTTAAAACTGATACTTTTATGTTGGTATATCTAGTTGGGTCTTTTAAAATTTGAAAATGTATGCAAATGTATAAATTCAAATTTCCTTTGGACTAATATATTTTAATTATTCTTTTTCAAGTTGGATGTGCTGTGCAATGGTGAAATTATGGGGAAGGATCATACTATGGAATTCATCTATATGACACGATGGCGACTAAGAGGAGAAAATGTAAATTCTTTATATTTACCTATGTGTATATTTAGTTATATATTCTTATGTAATTTAAAGTTAACAGTATGGGTTAGGAGCTTTAGGAAATTAATTTGGGAAAGAAGAAACTGGTTCCTCTTTATTCTCTAGCACCTAAAAATTGGTTGAAGTATAAGATCAATGTCTATGTTAAATATTTTGAAGGTGAGTTTTTAAGTCCAGCAATAAATACATCCAGGATTCTGCTGACCTGAGTGCAGGGGTGGCATGTATTTTTTAAATCCTCGTGTCTACTAGAAATGTGAGTTTGAGAGTTGGGGTCAGATAGACTCTATTCTGCCCTGATAGCACTAGCAGTCAGAAAGGGGAATTGTTGGGGTTGTGATAATTGTGCCTTGGGTCCTAGTGATGAGGGAGAAATGTTCACAGGAGAAAACCTAAGATCAGCTCCTCCTCCCCTCAAAATTTTTTTGTGTGTTTTAAGTATTTTTGCTTAGGTTAACTCTTTGAGTCCACCTAAGCCAGGAATGTTAGGGAAACGTGAGGCCCTCTGTGTACTGTATTACAAGCCCGTCTGGGAATAAGGAACACCATTGTAATGTTACCAGAGATTTCCCTCATGACCTGAATACATAACTATACCTAAGATTGATTAGAAAGTGCAGTAATTAACACCCAAACTTACCCATGGAACATTAAGAGTGTGATGTTTATAATGCAGTGTGTCATGCATTAAATATTATAATGTTTCTACCAGGATTTATTACATTGTATTATGAAAATGTTAATTATGAAATACAGCACAAAGTTTAGTTATTACCTCACACAGTATAATATTTACAAATAATGATGGTTGCTGTGTTTCAGTAGTTCAGAGGTGTACTGACATCACATTAAAGTAACATCTGTTGAACTGTTAGAAAAACCTCAAAAGATCCTTGTACTATATAGTGGTTCAGATATTTGTCTACTTTTTCAGAAGAAAATGTGATGATACAATAATATTGAAGCACCTAAATTCCTAAATCTGGATTTTTGTTGTTTTCCTATCTGGTTTCACATGGATAAAAATCTTCTCTGTGAAGTTCAGTGCTCTAGTCACTGACAAAAATATCTCCGGACCAGGAAAGAAAACTTACATTCTAGTGTCAGTCACTTGCTAGCTGTGTGTACTTGAAGAACTCATCAGACTGCTTTAGTAGGTTTCATCTTTTTAATACAATTGTATTGCATAAATAAAAACTGCCTTGTTTACGGGCTTTAAAGGTTGCATGTACATTGTTTTCCTGTGTTCCTTAAGCCTGAAATGTTTGAGGTGCCAGGTGCACACTGCAGAGGGTCAGTCTGCACAGTTAGAAGCAGGTACTCTAATTCTACAGTAATAGTGCTGTAGGAAATGTCACTTTGTCTGTCTTTGCTCGTTCAGTGGGCCTTTCAGCATGTGAGTGCTGGAACTCATCACTGTGAATAGACTGGCCTCCAGTTTAAAGGTTACCTCTCCTAGGGCTCACCTGTCTGTCACAAGTACTCTCCTGAAAGTTGTCCATGGTGTCCATTTGTATGTGTCTGGGTGGGGGAGTATTTTTTGAAGGAAGATTTTACCATTTAACCCAAGCTGGCCTGGAGCACACTGTAGCAAAGACTGGCCTCAGACTAATATTCTCCTGCCTCTGCCTCATTAGAAACATGGGCCATCAAGCTCAGCATTGCCAGTTATTTTAATATCAAAGCATGAAAGGGTTAACTCGTAAGCTTTTTACTGATAGATTGCCAACTAAATCAGTCTTTATGTAATTATATTTCTGGTCACACATTTCTGAGGTTTCAGGTTTTTAGATGAGATACACTTTTATCAAAGTTTTTTTAAATTGGTCCTGGAGAGATGGCTTGTTCTTTAACCCTGGTTTTGCTAGTGTCTGTAGTTTTGAGATTGGTCACCCCATCCATACTGGCAGGAGGCTAGGATGTCTGCCAGTTCAGTACTGCTCCTGGCATTGCTAACTAGCATGGCCCTGGGCGGGATCAGCTTGTTCCTGTGCTGATAGCTACTGTTATGTTCTCTTACTTGCTTCTAGTGTTTTGTTAAAACATTCTAGTCCACTTAAAATTGATTCATTTACACATAGCAAGGTTAAGAATCTAGTTTATTCTGAAGATTTTTTTAACCAGAAATACAGTTTATTGAACACTCCAAACTGCTCCTCATTGTTTGAAGATGATGCACATGCATGTGTATACACACATGTCTGTGCATGTTCAGGACATTGTTTTTTAAACAGATACTATTCTGAACTAGCACTGTGCTTAACGCAGCTTTTATAAAACTCTTGTCTAAAACCTTTCAATTGCCCATTTTCTTTGAAGTCATAACATGTCTTATATAGGTCAATAGTTGTGCTTGCTAGATTGCTGTGTGTGTGTGTGTGTGTGTGTGTGTGTGTGTGTGTGTGTGTGTGTGTATTTGTACCTATTGAGACAGAAACTCGATTTTAAAAATCACATTACACTGTTTTACCTGTTCCCTGAGATGAGCTTTTGAATGGGTCTCTGATTGGCACTGGACTGTATTCTGGGTTACTTTAGCCGTCTCTGGCGTCTTTGCAGTTTTTCGTTCTTGTCAGTGTTATGGGATGTCTGCTTGTAATTCTACTCAGCCTGTGACTCCGTGTGTAGCTTCCACTCCTATCACACTGGAGTCCTGAGTCTCCACCTGAGTCCTTGGCCTCAGGAAAGGGTTCTGAATATTCATGTCCACCTCCCTCATCCTGTCTGTCCTCCCAGAACCAGTCTCAGGGAAGCGAGTTTCCTTTCCAGTTCTGCAGTAACCATCACAAGCATCCCTCTGCACCATCCAGCTCCTGTGGTAGTGCTTCCCTTCTTCCCAGCTTAGGTCCCCTTCAAGCTGAGTCCCTCATGACCATAGGTGGCCTCTACCCCTTCTTAGACCTTGTCTCCATCATGATAAATTATTTTTAAATAGCTTTATCCTTACAAATTAAAACAAACACTTGGTCAAATAGCTGCTATCAATTCTATAACAGTATTTTTGCTTGATGATTGTTGCGCTGAATGTTGATCTGTTGATGACTAGTAGGAAAAATACACTTTAACAGTAGGTGCAAATACAAGTGCTCTGGGCATGATGACAAAGTACAGTTCTACTCAGTAGGCTTGGGGCTGGCCTGAGACTCATTTCTAGAGAGCTCTACTCATGTGAGAACACCTCTGATCCTTACAGCGAGGTTTGGGAAACATGATCTGTGGCTAGGTTTCTTCTGTGGCTCTACAAGTTGAAGGTATGGAGATATGAGATTCATGTTTCAGTCAGGGGTTACTCAGTCATCTGATGTTACCATCACTCTAGTGTTTCTCTTCATAATGCCAATGCCAGTGGTCATCAGTTTTCCAAGACATATGGAATCATACATATTGCTAGCAACTTTATTCTCATTGGAGATGTCTTATGGAAAGCCATTACATTTTGAAGTTTTTTTTTTTTTTTAATATATTGGTACAATTCAGTTGGTGTGACTATTATAATTTAACTATTTTGGTGGGCATTGGGGTTTTGTTTCATTTTTTTTAACATTACAAGTAGTGCTGTATAAAGTCCAAGGCATGTACCCATTGCCTGTGTTGCTAAGTTTACAATGGACTAAGTTTTACATTGTGAGAGGTTGTCTATTGTCCTCAAAAAAGTTTCACAAGTTATAGTCATACCAGTAATATACAAGAGGACCTGTTTTCCGACTTCTTGACGACACTCATATTAGCAATATAGCATCTTTGCAAGTAAGTGTTCATATTCATTGCCCTTTTAATCACGAGTATGTCTTCTTGTTGACTTCTAGGAACTGCTTGTGTGTTCTGAACACTTAACCTCTTGCTATATATGTTGTAGCTTTTTTTTTCCCCAGCGTGTCCTGCCTCCCAGTTTTTCCTCAGTTTTGGGGATCCTTGTAACAGTGCCTGTGTAGGAAAATTTAGCAAGAACCTGTGTAGGAAAACTTAGCAAGAATTAATATTATATGCTAAAGTACTTAGCAGAATGCCTAATCTAATAAATGTAGAAAAGTAACAGTGTCTCTGTTAAACTGCGCTGTGATCTCATCCACTCTTCCTCCACTCCGTGAGAGCTCCTGTCATCATCTGTCTGTTCCCTTTCAGCATTCCTCAGGGACCCGTGTTCTTCCTGCTCACTCTCTTGTGGGTTGGTTGCGTTCCCTCAGTGTAGCGCCTTTTCCCAGATGCTCCTGTAGCTTCCACCTCTTCCTGCAGCCTCAGCCACTCCAGCAACCATGCCCGTCTCTCATTGCTTCATTTGCAATCTGGCAGTTTTAGGAGAAAAAAAAACCACACACACACACACATCTGTTTTAACCAATTCCAAAGAGATTAATAGGAAAAAATAAAGAACTCTAACTCTAATCTCACTGAGTGATTTTTACAGCTTGCACAGTCAGACGGACTGTGGTAGGTTAGAGCTGGCGGACCTATCCGAGTCAGTAAGGACCGAAGTGGCAGGCTGTCCTTAGAGCATGATGAGGAACTCTGTGCATAAGAAAGGACCAACTTCCAGAGAAAATCTGGTGAAATGTATCATCTTCCAAAGTAGAGCCTTAAAAAGTCTACTTTGGGAAGTTAAATTTTTCCTGATTAATTCTAACTTGTATTTTTCTGTGTTTAATTCTCAGCTATTTATATATTTATTTTTTCCATTTGGAAGAGTATACGATGTTAAGTACGTGCATAACTTAAAAGTATAAGTTGTATAATGATTAAGACTGTGAACAGAGTGTCCGACTGACTCGGAGCTCATCCGTGCTATTAAAACAGGCGTGGGATCAAGACTGTGACCTGAGCAATATGAAAGGAAAAGGGCAATGGATCAGCCCCTCACAGACTGAATGAAGTTCCATGTCCTCTCAGAGTTCTGATAGTGTTACTCTCAGAGTAGCTGAAGAGGAGGTGTAGGAGAGATTGACCTCAGGAGCAGGTGGGAAAAAGATGGTCCCCACTCTGTACTAAAAGGAGAAAGTGGTGGTACCCTCTGTACTAGGAGATGAGGATTTCCCAGAAACTAGCATTTGGAAATGAGATAAAAAGGGTAGGATACCATATTGGTAAGTTTAGAATATTAAAAACAAACAAAAACCTTCATAGATAAATGATAAAATTAACACTAAAATTTACCAACCACCAGGTTATTAAATATTTCCCCTCCCCCCCCCCAAAAAAAGCCACACCATTCCTCAGTGTTTATTTAAATTTCTCATGTTGGCGCTTATGTTTGACGTTAAACTACTTTAAATAACACGTTTTAAATATGTCCCGTTGTGGATGCCTCTTATCTGATGAGTTCATCTCCTCCGCAGTTTCGCTGTCTGAACTGCTCAGCCTCGCAAGTCTGCTCTCAGGATGGCACTTGGTATCAGGTAAGAGGCACTCATGACGGTACATAGGACCATCACAGTGCCCTGTGCTTACCACTCCCATCCCAAACTCAAGTTCTCAAGACATGTCACTTTGTAAAACCAATTTTTAAAGTCTTTTCAAACTTAAATAACAAGTTTCCCATTATTGTAGTTCTCCCGAGTTAACCATTTTACTGAACTAAAAATGAAAGTATGTATAACAACCATTATTTATGAATCAAGAATTTTTAATAATTATTTCAGCCCTTGAGAAATCTCTAATCCGTCCTGTATTGAGATGAAATGTCAAATTGAGTGACTTTAAATAGAGCTAGGGCTAATTCTAATTGTGATCAGGCTGCTGGGCCCAGCCCTAACGTCTGCCCCGGGTTACCACAGAGGAATGAGTATGAGATCATGTAGTAACACACAAGGACCTTAAACTTGTGTCTAAGAAAAACTTTTCTAATAAAAACAAATTTTAGAAATTTGGAAAACGAACTGGAGAGATGGCTCAATGGTTAAAAAACGGGAACCAGTTTTGATTCCCAGAACCCACATCAGGTGGCTCATAACTACCTATAACTCCAGGTCTAGGGCATCTGAGACCTCTAAGCTCCATAGACACCCTCACTAATAATGCACATGCCCACATACATACATATGTTTAAAAATAAATATTTTTAAATGAAAAACAGAAGAGTCTGTGTGCACTATAGTAAGGCACAAATACTGTATTACTAAGTGCAGAGATAACATGCCCAGTCTTAATCTCATGGATGAGTTGTAGTGTTTCTTTAAAATAATCCATTGCCCTTTCCCCAGTAATTAAAAGTCATCAGTCTAGTTCCTAGTAGTCAGTAACTAGTAAACTTCAGTGTTGCAGTTCTGAGGTTGAGACAAATTAGTTTACATTGGGTCTTAAAAGAATACTTGAAAAATCCCTAAGCAGAAATTTTAATGAGCAGCATATCTATGATTTCTTTTTTTTTTTTCCCCCGAGACAGGGTTTCTCTGTGTAGTTTTGCGCCTTTCCTGGAACTCACTTGGTAGTCCAGGCTGGCCTCGAACTCACAGAGATCAGCCTGGCTCTGCCTCTGGAGTGCTGGGATTAAAGGTGTGTGCCACCACCACCTGGCATAAATCCTAGTTTTTTTTAGAAATGGAGTAACCTAACATACCATCTAGACAGGCAGAGAGAAAACCACCCAGGAAGGAAGCTGTGAGGGAGAGGGCTGAGTGAACAGTTGAGTTGATGTAGTGAAATGTGTAAAATCCAAACGGCAGGGCTGATAGATCATAGTGATAACCTTGTCTGTAGCTGTAACCTATGATCCATAGGCTTCCACTTTTTGTCTTCATGTTGATAGCTGTGTCCTGAGAGATGAAGTTGCTCTTTAGCTCTGATACTAACTGTTGAAGAACATTGAAATAAGACAAATCTGCGCCCACGCACTCACTTCCTTTTCTTTATTCAACACTTCATTGTGGATAACAATCTTGTAAGAAAATTAAATTTTACATTTAAATTTTTCCAAAATCATTTCCTAAAGGGAGCATCAAATGCCGGCAAACTTGACAGAGAATTCAGTTAGAAAATTAGTACCAAGGGGCTGGAGAGGTGGTACAGGCATTAGGAGTGCATGTTGGTCTTACAGAGGACCAGAGTTCTCTTCCTAGCAACCACATCAGGTGGCTCCAGGGAATGGACCCCCTCTCTGGACAATTTGGGCACCTGTACTCACACATGCGCAGACCCATACATATGCATAGTTTAAAAAATAAAAAAAATCTTTTTAAAAACTAGAACCAAGTCTCACTTTGAATACAAATGCAGAGATATTAAATAGCATACTAAATAATGTACTAAAATATCCTAAGAGGATAAAGTCAAGACCTGGTAGAATTTTTATCAGAAATTCAAGAATATCTTAATATTAGAGAGAGACAGACAGAAAACAAACTAGTATTTTTTTTTGAGTACTCCAAAATAAAAATCACTAAGTGCTGAAAAGACATTTGATAAAATCCAGTGTTAGTGCTCATTTTTTTCTACTAGCTGGTTAGTTTGAAGTTTGAAAATTGAAAACTGAAGTAACTATTTCAAAGACATTCTTTACCTAGATTGACCAGTTAATATTTCACGTTTTCTGTCTCCTCTTCTCCTTGTATGCATCTTAGCTTGGTTTTTTTTTTTTAATAAAACTGTTAAAAAATAAGTCAAATATAAGGTCAGGTGATCACAAAATTTTTTAGTCAAAAGATTTCCTCAAACAAAGACCTACTCTTGCATATTCAGAATTCTGTTTCACACACAAAGACTTTAAATGTCATCATAGATGTCAGACTCTGCGCGAAGTTAAATTATGAAGTTAAATGTGACTCTGCATACTTTTACAAGATTTATTTAATCGAGCAAAGTTAGTTAAACTAATGTTAATCAGGAAATGGGTGTTTCCAATCAGTCACATTTTCAGGTAAGTAATGAATGGGACATGATCACTAGCACCTGTGTGCAACAGTGCATTATAAAGCTAAGAGCTCACATCAGGTGCTGACCTCCACATGCATGAGGAGAGAATTGCTCCAGAGTAAGTTCTGGTCCGGAGCCTGAGCGCAGTGGTCCGGAGCACAGTGGCTCCAAAGGTGGAGGCAGAAAGAAAGGCTCTTTAACAAATGCTTTTGAGCTATTTAAGTATGCCTGAGGTATTCTTCTAGCCCTGGGCTATAGAAGAAAACATTAAACAACTTTTCTCTCATAGAACATAGAGGCAAAAAACAAAAACCGGAAAGTTTAGTGTCCAGGGGAAACTTTAAGTATCTACTTAATGTACTTTAGAGGGGTGGGTAGGTGTCTTAGTTGGTAACCTGCTTGTTTTGCAGGCATGAGGACCTTTATTCAATCCCAGAACCCTTATAAAACTGGGCAGGTGTACAGAGTACTCTGGAGGCAAAGGCAGGTGGATTCTTGTGACTCACTAGCCAGCAAGCCTTACCTAATTGGCTAGCTCCAGGAGAATGAGAGTCCCTGTCTCAAACAATAAGGTGGCCAGTCCCGAGGAACCATACCCATGACTACTTTTAGCCTCCACAAATGTACATACACACACACACAGAGATGCATATATACAACTATATGAGCACACACACACCGAGAGAGAGAGAGAGAGAGAGAGAGAGAGAGAGAAATATATTTTGTACAGTAAGATAACCAAAGAAGAAGTTCTTTGGTGTGGTCGGTTTGGATCATAAGGAAGACATAACCACATGAATATATAATAGAGAACACAAAGCCGAGGGAACACAACACAATGGCCTTGAAAAACAGGTATCTCACCACTCAGGATCTGCAGGGAAGCCAGTGGCACTGGATCGACAGTACACGGGGTAGTTGGAAATGATACATTCAAAGACACAGTGTTGGAGGTTGGATGCAGATCTCCTAGGACTCTTCATGAATTGCAGTAAGACTGCAGCAAGACCCTTCAACATAAAACCTCATTATATGACTCCTGATGGGTCAAAACAGTAACTGTTCAAAATGATAATAGAAAAGGTGAAGAAGAAAATACAGTTGGGAAAATGATTTTATAGCAGAGACAATCTTTCACACTGTACCTTTGAAAATTAAAGGGGACAAATAGTGATGTAACTATTAATATTGAAAAGTACAAGGCAGAAATCTCAAATTTTTGCAGTATCTGACAGGAAATGGTTTAATGCCATTAAATATAACAACTATACATCTGTATGAAAAAGCTTAACTTTCAATAATTGGACAAGCTATAAAAGGAAATATAGTTGACAAATAAAATATACATGTAATTAACTTTTTAGAAGTCAAGTAATAAAGTAAAAATAATATATTTTATGTTTATTAAATTGCCAAGTTAAGAGGGGGAGGAATATGTCAAGAGTTTGCACATTTCAGTAAAATTATTGAACTTCATGTGTCCACAGAACAAACACAAGTTTTGGGGGAGTGGGGAGAGAAAAAAAAAGAATCTCAGCCCCAGACAGAAAATCTCAGCCGTTGGCAATCACGCCATTTTACTTCTATGTCTGTTGCTCACCTTCAGTAGAATTGTTGCTGGACTTTTATCTGTAATGAATGTAATCTAAAATGGGTAGTTTAATGCAGAAGTATGCAGATTCTTCAATCAGGAATAGAAAGCAAAGTTCGAAGACTGTAATAAAGGGTAAGCTGGGGGTTGGAGGGAAGTAGAATGGGGCTTAGTAAAGTCAGATAAGGTGGCCGTGTCAATGACCTCAGAAATCTGACTGGGCTTCAGAAATAGAGAACTTTGTGCTCAACTAACCTAGTTCTAAGCTGGTTCTGGAAAACCAGAGTAAAACTTAAGATGAGTCCAAGTAAACAAAATTAAAAAGCAGAATAAGGCTAAGACCATTGGAACCTCGCAAGTCAGAGACTCCTATGCTAGCCCATGAGATCGGAAGCAGCAGCTGCTTGATTCCTCAGCTGAGAACAAGGCCTCTGGCATCTTTCCCACTCTCCTGCCCTAACTGCAAGTTAGTACATAGCAGCATCCAGTCTCTCTGTGTGCAGCATGCGTGGAAGTGCTGAGAGGGCGTCTCGGGGTTGTAGACTCTCAGTCTGCCTTCTTCCTGTAGTAAAGAACACAGGGTTCTCTGTACTGAAGGCTTTGCACCCACCTACCCTGAGATAGCACAACACTGGCCAGTGGCCTTCTCAGCCTTTTCTGGATTCCGTGATAGTTAGCTCATTGGATCTCACTTCAAAAGTGGAAACCTGCAAAGTTTAGAACAGGAAAATCAGTGACTCTCCAAACTGCTTTCTGATGATTTGTTTCTCTGTGGTAGTGAAGGTGAAGCAGACAGAGAGGGAATATGGCCCCTGCCTCCATCTGCAGGAGGCTCCTTCCTCCCTCGGACTGTGTGGTCATGCTGTAGCTGTGAACACTGAATCATATTGAAAGGAGATGGTCACCAATCCGTGTAACAGGAACCTGTTTTCAATACTTCTAAAGACCATTTTAAAATAAAGAAAATACTGAAGGAAAGAGTATCAAATGAATGAGCAATATTGTAGAAATTCCAGTTTCACCCGTTTGCAGAATAGGGTCTCTTACTCTGGAGTAGTTCAGTGGGTTCTCACCAGCAGCAGCAGCTCTGGAGAATCCAGGACTCAAATACTTAGCCCACAGAGTTGCTGGTGGGATGCAGCTTGTAGTCCTCTGCAGGCACTCTCTAGGAAGGGAGGAGAGGGAAAGGAGGAAGGGAGGGAGAGGTACTGATAGTAACTTGAATCTTAATTGACAACTTAAATTTTAACTTTTGTCATCACTATTACTAGGAAATATAAACTATAATCCCCAATTCTCCAAAGCTTTTCTGGTGAACTTGTTTTTATATAAACACCGTCTTACTCATACTTTTCTTTTTTTGTAGTCGTACCCTATGGTATTGCAGTATCGACCAAGAATTGACTTTGGGTAGGCCGGGCCCAGACTGCACTGAATGAACCTGCACTGTTTGTTTACTCGTCGGCAGATTGCACAGTGAGCGGTGTGTGGACTTGAGCGACACGACCTGATTTTCAGCATGCACATAAGGCCATTGTCTGTCTCGACAGTGTCAGTTTCCTTCATGTTGTTTCTACTAGGAGCAATCCAAGTGCCCTTCTGCTACTGACCATCTGCATAAGATATTCGTCTCGTCTCACAGTGTGCAAAGCACGGCTGAAATCAGCCAGGAGTACAGCCGTGACTCTGCTTTTCAATGTTTTGCTTGCCTGTTGCAAGATTGTTCTAATGTTAATTACACTAGTAAAATGGCTCAATCCTTGTGGTGTTGCAGTTTTCACATACTTAATACTTTTATTCTTGTTAAAATAGAGTACTGTACAAGAACTAGTATAATTATATCTTGAAATTATTTTGTATAAAAATATATTTAGAAAAGTGGTTTCTGAGCCACTGTCCTATTCTTGGTAAACTTTTATGTAAAAAAGAATAAACAGCCAAAAAAAAAAAAAAAAAACCAAAATGCCAGCTCATTCTTGAGTGTGCAAGTCCTTTTGTGAAGAATTCCAGTTATCTTTTGACCAGAGCACATTACAATTGGAGCTATCCTGAATGTCTGGGTAGTCTCTACCATTGCACAGGAAGGCGTGTTAGCCCTTCACATTGAAAACGTATGTGACTTGGACAACTGAAGTTCATAATGTTGGCAGCTGATCATATTGATGTCTAATAAAATTAATGTGTGAGTATGTTAATGTTTGTTACTGTCTTAGGGCAAGTGGGTGTTGCTTTACAAAACTCCATTTGTTGTCTAGCCCGTGGTGTGTGTGTGTGTGCATTATGGCATTGTTGATGCCGTTTTGTGAAAGCATTGTTTCTTTTAAGTTGGCCTTAGGCATGTGTTGTGGCATGCAGAGGGTTATGTATAATGGTTTTAAATACTAGGATTTTAGATTATGTTCGCTCATTTATGGATTTCCAAAATCTCAAGTTACTGATCCAGATTGTTAGCTGCATATCACATTTCCAAACCATACCCACAAAATAAATGCTATATAATAGATGAATATTCTAACCAAAATTGGTGGTTTCAGGATATTTTATTTTAGATACTGTAGTAAACAGGAAGTGGGATTGTTTTAACTGTGAGTTCATTAAAGGTGAGTGTAGTAGAAGTCAGAACTATGATGATGTCCTTGATAATGACAGTTTGGTTAAGTCTTCCACACATATGAAATTAGCCTGCAAGTCAGGGTCCTCTGTTATCTTACTACATGAAAAACATTTTAGATCTTGTCAAATCCATAGTTGAAAAGAAAACTGTGAAACATGTCTGTTGGTTGCTTTGAAACAAGTTAACTTCTGACAGGTGGGGGAAAATAGGAAAAATGACTTTTCAGAAATCTGATAAGAGCACCGTGTGTTCCACACATCGTTTTTTAGACTGTGAACACGGGTGCTCTACATTTCCCAGTAAAATACTTCACAAGCTGATGCTTTCTGAATTTCAGAGTGCTTCGTAGAAATAAAACATCGTACAGCTCTAAGAAATATACAAAGTGAAGCTCAATCTTGGAGTATTTCATAATTTTAAAAGGCTGAATGTTTATGGTTTTTCCTTACATCTTTTTTCAAGTCAAAAGCTGCATTAGAAGGCCATAGCAACTCTTTAACTTCAGGTTGTTATAGATTGGCTGTTTCTGGAAGAACTCACGAGCAGGATTTAAAAGATAGTTGATTTACTCTAAAGTTTAGACCATTATGCTTGACCAAAAAACTGAATCTATTATCTAACTACAGAAATTATTTTGATGTTTTGTAAAACCTAGTTCCTAGTTATCTCTAAGAAAATTTTAAAGATACTACAGTTTGTCACATTTAGATAAGTGTATTTTAAATATGAAGGTTAATTTTAATTAACTTAGTCAAAATCAATTTTGAAAACCAAACACTAAGACTTGGCTATTTCGCTCCTCATCAAGACGTAAGGCCATAGGTGAATTTTATATACAAGGTCTCTTTAAATTTTGCTTGTTGCCTGATCACATGTTATGACTATTTTCCAAGGATACATAGGAAATAGTTATGAAAGAAAGCAGCTTTATGAAAAGTTCCTTTATTTAACATTATGCATTGACACTTTCACTGAGATGTAATAGACTGTGTGCCAAAACATACCATTAAGGATGGCTGATGTCACATGGGACCATGAGTAATGTGGTGGTGCTAGTGGAATCAGGCTTTTTCAGTTAGCCTCCTCTGGTATATCAGCCAAGTGTAGACCACTTTCTTGTCTGGTGTGACATGCACCAAATTCCCAGTTAGTTGCCCTTGTAAGGAACCCAGTGTAGGAAACATGAGCAGGCACTGTTTGTGGCCGACTTTGCATGTACAGGGTTGCTTAACTAAACTCTGTAGAATAGCCCTGAATCCATACACTCAAGAGTAAAGGAACGTTAGTCTTCAATCTGTTGTCCCTTAAGCAATAAACTAAAGAACTCTACTCCAGAAAAGATTTTGTTACCTGTTTTACCTGCCTTAAAAATCAGCCCTAAAGAAAGGGGCCAAGGAATCTTGAACATAAAGAATGCCTGTGGTCTGTAAGAATCACTTCAAATTGCAGTGATCACGTAAGTTAATAGAGAAAGAAAATGTCCTTTTCTCAGGCCTAAAAATTAAACTAAAAGGTTCGTTGATGAGATTATATGAAGTCTGAGGTTTGGGTAACTAGAGTAATGTTAACTGTTAAGCTTTACTGACTATGTAAAAGAAAGTGCCTCGTTGCTAAAGTGCGTTTCTGTTTTAGGTTACCTGCATAAGTCTCCAGTTATCTGTACCTGTCTCATAAATGGCTTCATATCTAAGTGGGTACTTAAAAGCTAAAGTCTTTTTCAAAGAGTTTTGTATCACCAAAGACATTTTATTGTTAATAACCATGTTGGAGACAGTTTGGGCAGTTCAGAAGATGGAAACTAGTAGATGACCTGACGGTAAATAGTAGTAACCTTGATTGCTTACTAAACATTGCCAATGAAGGCACTGCAGTTCAAGTTCTTGGTAGGATGAGTCAAATGCCTCTTTTGCTACAGTCAGCGTATTTCCCTTCAAATACGTTCTTTTTTTTTTTTCAGCTCCATGTGGTAGACCTTAGAAAATCCTCAAATATGAGAAAGAAAACAAATATCCTCCCCAATGAAAAGTGGGAGAAAAGGGAACCTAGAAAATTGAGATTTTAAATTTTAAGAAGCCTTTTATTCCATAGAGGTGGTATGAAGGAGAGTATGCCTGTTTTGCTCCTGGGTTCTTAGTAAAATGTGCAGTTTTGTTGAAGACAGGCTTTAGTAGAAGTGCTGACAGGCCTGCCTCTGTAGAGCACAGAACATTCTACTGGATTAACAGAAGTGCTTTTGCTATTTTTAAAAGCAAAATTCCATAAGGGCCTGTGATAGTTTTTTATTTAAAAGTGACTCTCTTTCTCAGCAGCCACTTTATTGTTATTAAACTTAGCCCTGTGGCCAAATATTGACAGTGGAGCACTGAAAACTGTCCCAGTATGCCATTCTTTCTCTGGGGTTGATGGTCTGCTCTGGACCACCGCTAAGGTAAACTCTACCTGAGGTAGACCATCTGCAGAGTGGATGAAACAGCCCCACAGTCCTGTGTTGCCTGGTCTGCAAGCACTGTGCAACTGAGCTATATCCCTCATCCATTCCTCTGATTGGATTAGGAGTTCTCTAGAAATCTACCCTTTATATCAATAAAAAAGTCAGTATGAATTTGCCAAATCTTTTCTAGATTAGAATCATAAAAACTTGAAGTGCTGTTACGGTTGTTTTCAGTATGTAAATCCTCTGAAGAGCAATAAGGGACATGGCATGTCTGCTAGGTCTACTGCTTCAGGAGTTGTTGAACAGTGTCAGGGTCACTAAAGACTCAGAAGCCCTCAGAGCACAGGGTCACCACTTGTTTGGATTTACTTGATGGACTTTGCTCAGTGTCTTCTGATTGAAAACAGGAGATTAAGGTACAATACAATGCCAGTAGACAGTAGGGCTTTCGTTGTGTTAAGCCGTGGTGTTTCTCGGGTCATTTGAAAGTCTTTCTCTTCCTAGAATATGATTTTCACAAAGAGCAAGTTTACATCATCATGTTTTCTAGTAGAATTAAAATGTTTGGGCACTATTTCAGAAAATGATAAAAATTAAACGTTTCAAAAGAATTGCTTTAAATTTTCATGCAGATGTGTCTAACCTCATCTACTTTTCCATGATTCAAAATGGCGGCTTCCCAGAAATGTGTTTTCATCTTAATTGTCTTTGAATCTAGAATCAGATGTAACAGATGTGTTAAATACTAGGCCTAGTTTTCTTTGGTCTTGTAGCACAAATGAAGACTAACCATTCTGAGGGCATCTCTACACAGTCTGGTGTATTGACATGGGACCAGGAGCAGCTCTTTCTACATATGTGTCTGTTTGGAGGTCACCCTGGCACTGTTGAAGGCCGATTTTCTTTTGCAGTCTTTTTCAGAATGGGGTGGGGGCCTAAGTGTCCTTATGAAGCTGTGGTCCAGGACAAGAGCGTGGGGTGGGGGGTATGTGTTCCTTCACTTTCCTGTGTCTGGTAACTCAACAGCAATCATTTCTTAGAATAGCCCTCACAGTAAATCTAGCACAATATATTGTAAAGTTATGTTGCTAATTTTATTTTGAAATACAAAATATTTTAAGCTTTTTGTCAAAAGTGATAACATCTTAATACAAATAAAAACCTTTTTGTGGTTGTAAGATTTAGCTTATGAATCATTCAAATTGAAGTGAAAGAATTACCAGGTCATTGTTAATGACTTAGTCTATTAAGAATCTATGTATTTTTGTAAAGGAAAAGCACTTGTAGATATTTAATCAGTACAAGGTCTATGTCTGTTTTGCAGAAAGAAAATGCTGCTTAGAGATTCTCTTTAAATATTTTTTATTTTTGTGCTCATGTATTTTCTGTTGATCTATGGAATGTTCTGTATAAAACTGTATGACTGTACTGGTGAGCTGGATACATTTTTTTTAATTCTGGTCTTAGCCATGTATATTTGACCATGTTGAAAATAGTATCTTTGTTATTAAATTTTTGATTGCATATTTATTGTTTGCCTGTTTAGTGTTACTTGGTATAGACTGCTACCTCTGTTGAAAATGTTCCTTTAAGTAGTTTCCATAGCAAATTTTATTGATATTCATTGAGTATTTGAGATTATAAATAAGAGTGTTAAGGAGCTGTTCTAAAGATGTGTGTGCCCCTTAACTAATACTTCAGGTATCTCCATACACATACCAGATTTTCCAAACCCAGGGAGTCTTTAGAAAAAGTAATTATAGATCAAAGAGTCTCAAGAGATTTGAAAGACTGTTTTCCTCCACCAGTTAGAGAACTTGGCTTTGAGCATTCCTGGGCTAGTTTCTTGGATGGATGGAGGGAGGGAGGGAGAGAGGGAGGGAGGGAGGGATGGAGGGATGGATGATTTTTTTTAAGGTCTTAAAAGCAATGCTTAATGGCCTAAGTGTAGTAATGGCTGATGACACAAATCTTGACTTGTATTTGGAGATTATACCTAATTTTAAGCTTTCTATGTCTGGTGACAATGCAAGATTTATAAAAAGTTGATAAGGATGACAAAAATAACAATAGACATTAAGATACTTCAGGTGTGCCTAGTGTCACCCTTAAGTCTCTTATGTATATTAGCTCATTTAGTTCTGATAGCAGCCCTCTAAGCTAAGTTCTGTTAGTGGGAAAGAAACTCAGGCACCTGCGACTTGTGCTCGCTTGTCGGAGTTCACCAAGCCCGAGGATTCAGACCTATGCTGTCTGGCTCCAGTCTGGTCAACCTTTAGCTGGGTCTCATTGCACCCTACATGGCACTTGCTTCAGAGATTCTAGTTGGGCTAAGGAAGACCTCTAAGTCAGGAAGGTGGGAAGGCCCTTCCCCGTGCTCCACTGATCAGTGAATCATGACGGTAGCAGGACAGCCCGGGCCCTCAATAAGGTGGGATGCAGCTGGATCTGACCTGCCTCGTGTCTCCACTTTCACCATGGATGCTCAGAACGGGAAAGAGCAAGAAGAATCCTGCATAGGGAGTCCAGGGACTATGACACACTTCACCCTCCTTGCATGTCATTGACCAGAAGCTGGGAGGACAACTAGAGGACCTGGTCAAGCCATGCCCCAAACAGGAAAACACATTTAGCATAACCTGCTAATCACTTTCTGCACTTGCATTTGAGAAAGGAGGTCACAGTTTGCCTGGGACTGCAAAGTGTTTTTGTCAGCACAGGCTTGGCTATTCTCTCTAATGTAGAAGGATATGGAGGGTCTTGTGCCCAGGCTGGACCTGAGTTGTTCAGCTTTATACATATCTGGGAATTTACAGGTGCTGTTTCCTAGAAGTCAAGACAAAGAGTCCTTAGCAATCCAACTCCTGCCGTAGAGCTTGGTGCCAGGATTGCTGTCCTAGAGATAATATGAGCAATCATGCCCAACAAGGCTAAGTAGGCTGTAACACAACAAAAGGAACTATCCCGTCCTTTCAAACTACCCTCATTGGGAGGACCCATTCTTTCTACAGGGCTCTGCTCTTACAGGCAACTCGGGGTTCCTCCCTTAAAGTCCTTTCTTCAAACCTCAACATCCTCTTATGAACCTGTGCTTCCTGTACAGCCCTACTCCCCTAAGCTCCCCACTCCTGCATCCTCACCCTGTAAAGCTATCTTCAGATAGTACCCTGGACCTCTTAACAAGACCTCCTCCAAGCCCTGGCCAGTACAGGATCCCACTCACAGTTCCAATTCACCCTCAAAACCTGCTGGCCTTGCTCCTCCCAAAGCCACAAGCTTGGAGTCCCGTTCCAAACAACAGAACCTGCCACTCCTTACCTGCTCACCTTGTAAATGCCCTGTTTTCCTTAACAAGCCCCAGCCTTCCCTCAAAGCCTCTGTGGAAATGGCAAGACCCTGCGTCTGCATCATCCTGCTCCCACAAAGCCAGTCCCTTCTTGAAGAGGATAGCTCTTAGGCAGCCTGCACTCCTGTGTAACACTGCTGCTCATATAAGCCTGTGCCCTACTAGTCTCTTCTTCCCGGTGCCCTGTCCCCTCACAAAAGAGCATAGCCCTCCTACAAAGCCCAGCTCTTCTCCCTGAACTCTGTGTTAGGAAGCCCTGTTCCACCCAGGAAGCCCTATCCCTGGGAACCCTGCTCCTGGAGAAGTGGAGTCCCTGCTGCCTCCACCTGCCACCCCCAGTCTTTGCTCTACTCCTCCACTGGAAGTAGCTCCTCCACACCAAGCCCAGTCCTCGTGCTGAGCCCTGCTCCTCCCAAACACTGCCCCTCCTGAGAAGCCCTGCTCCTGGCCGAGCTTCTCTTACCGGGGTCTGAAGTCCACTGCTTGCTGCCTCTTCAGGAGAAAACCAGGAGACAATGGTAACTGGAAGTGAGCTTGTTCATGATTTGAGGGCCAGAACTGGGAAGAGAAACGTTTTTCTTTGTGTTTCCTGCAGTAATGTTACAACTTAGAGAAGAGACGAGAGAAAAGCCAGGAAGTAAGTGCATGTGCATTTAATCATGTATGCAGTCCGAGCTGTGAGAAGGCTGCCCCTGAGGGTTGCAGGCTGGCCTCAACTGTGGGGTTTCTTTTATGTTGCACTGTGTAAGACCATCCATTGCAAGGTTATACTACGTCTACTCACAGGTCCCTTCTCCCCTTAGGAATCAGCTGTCCTTTCTTCAAAGCTTCGCTGTTCCATATACCTCCAACCCTCCTTATAAATCTTCCTCCTAATCCCCACCTGACTTGCACATAGCCTACAAAGTCCCGTGCCTCCTGCATGGCCTGGGTCCTCCTCGGAGGCCCTGCTCACATGTGTGGCCTAGGCTCATCCTTACAAGGTCTGCTTATTCTACAAACCTTGCCTGCTCCCTAGGAAGTCTTTGTCCCTTCTAGCAAGTTCTCACCTGCTACAAACTCCTGTGCTCCTAGGAAGTTCTGCTTTCCATGAGCCCTGCTTCTCACAAGATCCACCCTTCACAGCCTTGCCTCTCTTTCTAGTATCTTATGCCTCCCTACAGAGCCCTGTTTGTCCCTACAAGCCCCTGATCCTGTTGAAATGCCCTAGCCTGAGAAGTGATGTGTGCCTGAAATCTCAGCCACTTAGGAAATTGAGACAGGAGGAAAGATTGAACCCAGTAGTTTGAGACCAGCCTAGGCAGTATGGACAAACCCTGCCTCAAAGAAAAATACTAAAATTACCTGTGCCTAACAAAACCCCCTCTTGTCCCTACAAGTCCCCGCTTTGCATACAAACCCCTGGACGTCCAGTGCCCTGTACCTCCTACTGCACAACTGTGTCCTGTCAAGCACATTGGGCCACACCTTGTCTTACTCCCATAGCACTTTCCTCAAAACCATTGATTTCTTTTCAGGAGATTATGAGCCTAGACGGTATTGTTCATGTGACACATATAACTCGCACCATAACCAGAGTAAACAGTAGTGAATGAAGCTGATCTCAGAGTGATTGATACCCACAGGAGTCTTCAGCACTGCCTGCTGCCTCCTTTTTTGACATGGGTTCCATCTCTACTTGAGAATTTCTATGTGGTGAGTATGAAAGATGCCAGTGAGCATCTCTTCAGTTCATAAACACATTGCCCACTTGGGATAAGATTCCTATCGGGAGCGTGGTGGAGGCAGGATCTGCCTTCCTGCTCCCATTTTCCCCAGCACTGTGGAAGGCAGAAAACAGGCTGGAGAGGTTGCTTAGCCCTTAAGAATCTGTGTTGCTCTTAAAAAGGACCCAGGTTTGATTCCCAGCACACACGTGGTGGATCACAACCCCCCGTAACTCCAGTTACAGGTAATCCAGTGCCCTCTTCGACTTCACCAGCACCAAATACACCGTGGTGCACACTCCCTGGTGCAGTACTCCAGAATGGAAGACACAAAAGGGCTCCAGGGAAATGTCAGTGAGACCCAAGATGAATAGAAGTGTGGATGGAGGTAGGGGATTCCTTTGACAGCTCACAACCGCCAAAACCACAATCATCACAACTACCACCTCCATACCACCCTGTATCACAACTCCCACCATCATACCACTGTCAACACTGCCATGCCAACGCCATCACCATCACCTGCACCCCTACCATCACCTCCACCGTGACAACCGCCTCCATCGCCATTACCACCACTACTACCATTTCCACCATCACTACAGCATCATCACTACCACCATCATCCTAACCACCACTGTCAACCATACCACCCCCATCACCATCATCCTAACCACCACTGTCAACCATACCACCCCCATCACCATCTTCACTACCACCATCACCACCATACCACTACTTCCACCACCATTTCTACACCACAACCACCATGCAATGTGCCCACCTCCATAGGAAGTGGGGAAATTTCAGACCAAGAAGGCAAGAAGATAATATGAAACCCCGAGAAGATCAGGCACAGACAAAGCTCCATTACTGCTTTAGGAAGTGAGGAGGGGCGGGGGGGGGGGGGGGGGGGGGGGGCGGCGGCTGGGAGCTGGGTTCAATTTAAAGAAGATGGAAGAAAAGATCTCAAAAAGCCTTCACTAGCCTTATCTAGGACCTGGTATCCAGGGCTCCCCACACCACCAGGGCTCTGCCAAACACCTTTCCCGGCCCTGCTCTGAGATAGCTTCTGTCCAAGGCAGCCTGGAGTTCTAGCTTGAAGCTTGTTATGGTAAGGAGAAGGGATCCTGGAGTCAGACCAGGAATGGCTTTATTCATTTGACCACTGCAACTGGGTAGGTCACATCTCCCTCTGGTCCCTGCCTTGGTGTCTCTCTGGACATTCTTTCTGATAAATGGCTACAGCTGTCGTGTCCCACTTATCAGCCAGCCTATACCGCAATATCCTCGGCACACGGCTGGTCTGCAGTGTTTAGCCATCGGTCCCAGCTGCCCATAGTTCCTCGATGTAGGGACTTGTGAACTCCCTCCCACACAATGCTGAAATGTTGACTGGCTTGATCTTGTACAAATCTGTGAGTTCATCCGAGCAGCCGTCCTGTCGTGCTCAGAAGACAGTGTTTGCTCCAGTCCTC